GGGGGAGATCCCCCAAACCCCCCTTACGGGGAGGGGGTCTGTACCCTCCCCCTCCTCGCGCTACGCGCTCGGGCTGCTGCCTTTCACAGCACACCGTTGACTATTGAGAAAAATTTCTCGGCCCCCCCTTTTAGGAAATCCTGGATCCGCCCCTGAAGAGTATCGGAGTGGAATAAAGATCTGGTTTTAATCAAATTGGTTGAGTACGTATGGGTCATTTCAATGCAACTGGCTGTCCTTCCTGAACGATGGCTGCACCTAGCCCTTTATGGCTTGCACCTACAGTTAAGGTCAGTTCTTTGTCAGAGTCATAATAGCGCAACACGTGTGCTTGTGTGACAAGCTGCTTCAGTCTTTGGAAGTTTCTTTCCTGAGCAACCTTCCAGCACCATTCAGTTGTTTTCTGTAACAACTCGCGTAATGGATAGGTAACATCAGAGTTGTATCTAACACAATTCAAATATACATTTCACTTAAATCCTATTTCCATTCCACTTTTTATGTTGTGTCAGATTTTTATTAGTTTAAGTTATATACCAGTACATATACCTACATATAATCAATTATACATTTCGAATACACTATTTCTGGCTCTGTAAGGGAGAGAGTTCCTTAAGGGGGACAGAGTTAATATGCCCAACCCCGAATCAGAATTTTTCCCAAATACAGCTCAGTCGGAGTGTATGTTACTATATAATAGGTAAACAATCTTCAAACTATCATTGAACACGGACCCGTTACGGCACACAGTGACGGCTTCCGGAGTTGTATCTGACAATGAAGGTGCAGTGCGTGAGGGGAACATATTGTATTTCCATGCCATGTACAATATGATACATTCAGACAAGCTGTTATATAAGTGTCATCAATGAAGAGATGCATAGTAGAGATTTGAAATAGACAGGTACTTCTAGATAATTGACCTCTAGGGACTCGATCAGATTTAACCAGAGCTGTATATATATACTACTAGTTTTAGACGTCTATGATTTTTCATAAACCAAAGTGTCGTGGCCCTTGCTAATTTCCTCCAGAGTAACTTTTCATATTCACCATGCAATCTAGAAATACAACAGAAATCCGTATTCTCAGCAAATATTGCAATACAGACTTATATCAGGGGCGGGTCCAGGTGAGGGCGTAATGGGCGTACGCCACCCTTTTCAAAAAGAAAAAGAAAAAAAACTATCGTAATCTGCTAATATTGTATTGAATATGGCAATTTATTATATTCATTAATTATACACATAAACACCCTGACACTTTAACTATAAAATATACATGCTCAGGAACCGTTACATTAGTGCATTTCACAATTATTTTATGTTTTTTTAGCAAAAAAAGGTCCAAAAATGTTTTAGCCTCGCTCCGCTCGGCGACAGATTTCATTCTACGCCCCCTCTTTCAAATATACTAGAAACGTACATATATATGTCTACCACTTTAGCTATGCAGCTTCAAACCGCCAGGCAAATATAGTGTATCTGGCTTCAGAATCTCCTACAAGAGAAGGGAATTAAGTAAACTAAGTACTACTACTACTACGTGATACGTCCTTTCGAGGTAGATCACTAAATAACTAAAACTGATATAATTTACATATTTCACATAATGCAGTCTTTATACGTAAACACGGAATCAGATCTAAGTCTGTGGTAAAAGAAATGATTCAAAACCGGAAGAAAAATATTTTGTTACGGTCTTTTTACCTGACCGCCAGGTGGCGCTTAGTATCGATAAAAATGCGTGTAGACTGTTGTTACGGTAAACTTTGGTGAATTCGAGCGTGTCCCACGTGTTCTCACATGTCAATAACCTAAGCCTTCACTTTCTTACACGCGGCGTCGTTATCTACACGTTTCGGAACTTCTTAATTACTGTTTCTGATAAGAGACCAGCATCATTTATCCCAGGTAAGGCGGTGCAGGTACATGTATCTACACCACGCGTGTAGCTTACCTGTGTGTACGGGTTGTGTACACCTGTATATGTTTTTACCGGGATGTTTTGGGTTCACAGGCGTCTGTATCATCTTACACTATCAGTACGCATACGTATGTTATAACAGTGTTTTTTTTTATTCCGTAACCATAAATAATTATATAAATGGGCATAGCATTGGTGGATATGGGTTTAGGGGGAGCGGGGCGCTTTAGAAATTTCATAAAATATCGACTGGTAATTTAGAAAATGTCCAACGTCAAGCAATGAAATATGTTCCTATCCTAAAGGAAATAATACTCTAATCGATACTTGGCAACTTTTTGAAATTTCCAAGGGGGAGATTACGAGTGTTCAGAATTAAAAGCATAAATAAATAGTGTTTATGTAATAATAATACTAATACACAACATTTGATATTGAATATTAGCTCCCTATCTAGCTAACATAAGCCACCATAAAGCGCGTTACAGTACATAGATATACAATTTTATACAGTCAATACAATTAGCATATATATTAATCAATACAATAATAGTTAATGAGGAATTCGCAGGAGCTGCCTTATAAGGCGCTAACTACTAGTCCTATGTGCTGGCTAATATCTCCAGATCTTAGATAATAGGAATAATTTATCAAATTCTCTAGTTGAAAATGCTCAATGTTAGGGTTCAAAATCGGGAGACTCCCTCCAAAATAGGGAGAGTTGGCAAGTATGCTAATCCTTACTGATGTAGACTTGAACATTTTTGGCCAGAAGCGTATGTGGAAAACTGGTTGTAACTTGAAAATATTTACCAGGTAATGGATGAAGAGAAGCTACGTGTCGGAAGAAGTAACTTGAATCGTTCCAGAACTAGGCGTTACTGCAATAGGAAACTCTCCAAAAAATAACAAAAGTAGTGGATTTAATTAAGGTTCCTCGGGGTAGATTGTTTGTAAGAGAGCTGTGGATATGTGAAAAGTCTCCACAGTTTCGTAGTAGAATTTCAGCCTATCAGCTCCTTCAAATCAAGCCCAAACAGACATTGGTAGCCCGCATTTCCTCTAGCCCTGACACCAGATTAAGACATTTTGACAGATAGATGTCTGGTGTGTGTTGGGTTTTTTTTGTGGGGGGGGGGGCACACACCAGACATCTATCTGTCTAAGTCTGGTGTCAGGGCAAGAGGAAACTCGGGCTAAGATATTGGTAACAATTTATATAATTACTTCCTTATACAAATACTCTGTATAGAGTATACCAGTGCACGTCTGACGATATGTCAAGCATAACCAGAATGTTAACCCTCAATTATCTCCCCTTCCACCACAGTTGGATGTTTTAATACACAAGATGGTTAGATTTTAAGGTAAAGTTTTTCAGTGATTGTAAGTAATGTATTGGCATATTCATTGCTTACCAAATTACTTTGATAAAGCCAATGATATAATACAACTTTTGAAGGACTTGTACACAACCAACATTTATGTATTTTCTGTGCATCAAGTAGGGATGTCACTACAATATACAAAAAAAGTATCAGAAAATCAGTAAATTACGATACAAAGGCATATCATCAAATTGTATCACAATACAGAAATGAAAATAATAATCTATCGCAATATAGTAATTAAATTTTGCTCTATCACATTATTTTTCAATAGGTTAATTTTATGTCTGCTGGCAGTATTAATTTTACAAATTACTTCACATTCCAGTGGGTTTTTTCTGGGAACTTGCCGGGGCCGAAAATGGGCCCCATTCCCTATTGAAACTATTTCATATTTATGCCTAATTTCCAAAATGTATAGCTTCCCAATTGGCATACATGTATTTTCTGCCAAAATTGAGACAAAAAGTCTGCATCCAAAGTTAACAGAAAAAACCCACTGCATTCAAACTAATACATTAAAATGTATGCCAACAACTGTAAACAGTCCAGTACTTTAGTAGAGAGAATTATTTGTACTTGCATAATTAATAGGTGGTGAAACTCAGCCCCCAGTACTGTCTTCAATTGTGAAGAGCATTTAAAACAGTGTTTTTTTTTCACTACTTGAATCTTGCAACAGCCTTTTCTTTCATGAATAGGGGACATATATAGCCTGATTGAAATTGTTGTAGATGAGATCAGGAGGAAGAAAGGTAAAGTCAAAGGCAGCTCTGCCTACCCACAATGCCGGTAAATCTACCACAGCAACCACGGGGAATCCAGCGAGGTCATTCCCTTTGTCACCGTACATGGTCCTGATGTCGTTGTTGTTCTGGATGTGCATAGCCTACCTATCCTTTAAAGGTTTTCAGTACCTCGCCGTACACCGGACCATCAATGATGATGATCTGGATGGCTTTTGTGATGCTGTATTCAGCAAAACTTTGGAAGAAAATGTGAAGTTTGTCAATATGTATCCAAAAGGAGAAGCAGGGCCATACATCGGTCGCATTGGCTCCCAGAAATACAAAGATACCTTCCAAGGGGAAGAGGCTCCAAAAGAGTTGTCGAAGATACCACCTATCGTGACGGCGGTCACTTCAGACGATTTCTGGATAATTCAAGGCCTTATTAAGCAAGTGGTGGAAGGCAATGCGAAGGGCATGAACCTCCAACTGGTGGTGTTTGACATTGGTCTTTATGCTTCTGAGCTCGTCCTGGTCAGTATCAAACCACTTATATACACACTACGCTTCCATATTAAAATCAGTATCTTGTTAAAAATCTTTAAAGTGTAGATGCATACCTTCCATAGGATATGAAAAGTACGGGTAGGTTTATGTGAGCCCTTTAAGCTGAACAGTTTAACTATTTGTATGTAATGTTATACAAATTACATTACTCTTAATATTTAAATGTTAAGTGGTTTAGTACAATTTGTTTATAAATTGTACATTACGTACACTACAGAGCCTGAGGTAAATTGGCTTACTACAGGTACAGTCCATATGACATAGGCAGTCTGGAGCTCTTTCTCTTACAGATGTGGCATGGTCTCTTGAGAGCAGTTTCAATGTACTGCCAATGTTATATAAACTGTACCTGAAGTAAGAGACTATCAATAAAAATAATTATGTACCAGTCTTTTAACTTGTCAAAATTTGACCTTACTTTTGAATAATATTGGGTTAGTAAAATTGGCACGCAGACTAGTAAAATTGGAAACTACTAGCTCGACTGACTATTGGATTTTAAAAATTAATTTCTATCCCTGCAGAGGAAGAGACTGTCTATGTCAGATGCCACTCAAAAACTCCCTACTGCAGTAAACTTCATACTAAGTAAACTTATGTTAAGAAATTAAAGTCAGTAAATGACACTTTATTGACTTCCTAAAGGTGGTCTCTGAATATTTAATTGTAGTCAATTATCCATGTAAAGTACAATCTGTGTACTTACACCAGTCCATGTCTGATATGTTAGACCCAGCTAAGTCTGCCCTATGTAATGATATCACATGTGTTCATACATATGTAACACTTTTGTTTATTGTTCTATTTCATGCAGTGTTATTTTTATGGCCTTTTATAAATTTATTTTTTCAAAACTGTGTAATTCACGATAGTGACATATATGTATATTTAATATCTAGTTCTTCGTAAACAGCACAATGATCACAGCCATGTTTCATTCACATTAATGTCATATAATCTGTATCTTCATTAATGGATCATATCACAGCCATGCTTAATATCCATATACCTTTGTTTTGTTCCAAAAACGTTTTACGTTATTCATCCTGAATGTTTTACATCTCTACAGTTGAAGAAACATTGCCAGTGTGATGTGCGGAAGTTTGACGCGAATGTCTACCCTCTACATGTGGCCGATTTCACCAACAAAGCCTACCGCCCAATTATAATCCAGGTTAGTTTCTGTTTGGGTCATTTGAGTAATAGAAAATATATATGGAAAACAATAAGTGCCCCCCCATCAGAGATGTAGTTTTTCTCTGGCCTTCATAAACTTTTGTTTCCATTTAGATTATCTCAGGGTCTAGATGTTAACTCATTCACCCCTGAAATTTCATAATGGACTATTCCAACCTTTGAATTGGAAGAGTTCAAATGTGTCTTCAGGGGTGAATGAGTTAATGATTATTAATATTTCACATGTTGAGGCTTAACATGTTCCTGAGGTCAAGGTCAATGTTACCAGAAACTAGAAAATGTCTAAGACATAAATGCCCCTGTCACCATGTGAAATGAGTTTGAGTGTTTGATTTTATATAAATAGTCACAACCACTTTGATCATGGGCAACACTATATGCCCCCCCCCCCCCCCCCCCCCCCATTTTATGTCGAGTGCATAAAAAAAACCCAGAACATTCTGTTAGAAATATGGTATATCCCTTTGTGACCTATCTGTGTTCATTTTAGTTGTAAATTGTATTCGGTGGATATCCTAAATACATAATGTTATGTAACTGGAATTTCAAATTTCCAGATTTTATGGTCACAATTAAAGGTCATGGTCACTGGCAATTAAATCTTTCTGGTAAGAACAAACACCAATGTTGCCTTAAAAAGTCGATGTCATTTAAACATGCATACCCTAGAAGAGCCTTTGAAGAACTCTAATACTATGACATGCAGTTCCCCTGATCATGAACACTTTGATAAAAACTCATCATGGCATTCAGTGACCTTGAACAAGGAAAGTTGTATAAGAACTCGCTATGACATGCAGAGGTAGCAGTATACAGTAGAGGGTTTAAAGTGAGAAAGGTAACGGATAGATCGTTGTGTTTATTGTCTCATTTTCCAGACATTTAAAAGGTTTTAATTAAATTTTGGGAAAAAGAAAGTGATATATAAGGTAGCAGTATACAGTAGAGGGTTGTGGCCATGGGTGATATTTTTGTTGAATGGCTAACCCCTGTATAATGATATGTATTTTTTTTATATAAAAATACAACTGTACTAAAATTGGTATAAGCATGATGAAGTGGGCTATGTGAGCTTCACATTTGTAAAAAAAGAAGATTTTTTTGGTTCGAGAATAAAATTTTGGCCATAATCAGAAAGGGTGCCTACACATGAAAAGCTAGCTTTACAAGAGGTAAAGTTTTGACAACAGCACACCATGCAAAATTGCAAAAAATCAAATTTTACAACTTTACTGGGACCCAGATAATTCTGCAACCAGGTAGGTAATCTTTAATTTCAGACAGAAATTAGGAAAAAAAATACTAGTTGCGGGGGTCAAATTTTGGGTCAAAAATAGCAATTTTTGGCATTTTTTGGTAATTTTTGATGTGGTAACCATGGTTTTCACACAAGTGACATACATAGAAAAAAGAGGTTTATACACTTCTCAGTACTTTATATGTATTGTAAATGTAATGCAGTTTACAAATATATATACATGTATACATGTGTTGTGTAGGGTAAATCCGCTGTGTTTACTTTTCCTCGACATGTGCCTTGTTTATCAGAGTCGGGCCATTTCTACTGTACACTGCTACCAGGGTCCAAGAACAAGAACACGTTATTAAGATTACTCCCTGTGATATGCAATGTTGTTTTATCACTGAATTCAGTTGTATGATAAAAACATTTTTAACTAGACCTGAAATACATATTATATTTACCAGTGATAAATCTACAATTTATTTTCATGGGTCCTTTTCAATTCTATTACTCAAAACAATCGGTCCCACAACGTTAAATTTAAGTATTTCGCAAAATTCTATTGAGTTCCATCAAAGTTCTATGAGTATAGGACTCAGGACTCAAATGTATAGATTTATCACTGATTTACTAACTATTTTGAATGCAATGTTTATCTATATATAATTAATAGCTGTATACTTCCTATACATTTGACACAGTTGATGCTCGAGGAATTTGGTTCAGCCATTTGGATTGATCCGGACGTCCGACTGCAGACAGTGTCTGACCTGACCATGCTGAAGTACCGAGGTGCTCGCAACTTCTTCCTGTGGGAGACCAGTGTGTTTACAGGCCTCACCAGCTACACAAGTCCAGACATGTTTAAATTCCTGGATGAGAGACGATGTGCTTTTCTTGATTTCGGCATGATGGACACGAAAACCATGGTATTTTACCGCACCAATCAGACATGGAAAGGAGTGATGGAACCATGGCTGAAATGTGTATTAAATAAAGACTGTCTCACACCTCCCAACGCTCGAAACAGCGAGTGTTTTCATTACAGAAGGCCCAAATGGACAGGCTGTCATTGGTATGACCAATCAGCGTTTAGTATCATTGTTAATCGTGTATTCCAGTTTAGTACCCACCCAGATCAGTATTCTGTGCCCCGGTTCACGTGGCACATTGACGTAGATGTTGTGTATTACTTTCCGGAGCAACCCTGGACCTACAAACAACTGGCTGCCCTGATGTTATCACCCTTCATTTGCTGTGGTGTCTTCTGGTTCTTGTATTCAAAGAGAAAAAGGGCAGCAGACCCCCTTCTGCCAAATAAATCCTATTATAATAAGCGGTAATAGATTGTATACCATTAGAAGTATTTTAATTACCTTACAGGGTAGATGGCGGGTTTCAGTTTTACAGGGTGAATGGTGGGGTTAAGATTGGATAATCTGGGCTTTAGATACCAATGTTGGGTGTGAGGGGGAGTGGAAACAAGGGTGGATGGTGGGGTTCAGATTGGATAGTCTGGGCTTTAGATACCAATGTTGGTTGTGAGGGGGAGTGGAAACAAGGGTGGATGAAGGTTTAATTGATGTGTGATCCAAAGTTTGGTTGCAGTAGCAGTACAATGTTCCCATTACAAGGCAAGTCAAAAGGGTACACTGTTGCTTTGGAAGGGGGATTGATCCTGATACCCATGGGGAAGGGGAAGGTTGGTTAAGGGAGAGGGGAGTTCCTCCAGACTCAAAATCCATTGGGAAGGGGATGGGTGGAAAAGGGAGAGGGGAGTTCCCTCCAGCTAGACTCAGCCCATTTGGGGGGGGGGGGGGATTTCCTCAGAGACAATTTTAAAAAAACACCATTGATTCTGAGACTATTTAAACTTAATGCATGGCGTAAATATACACATGTATACTGGTATTTATTTAACCATATAATTCTTCATTTGTCACTTACTTGATGTCATATTCCAGAAGTATTTTTTTTTTAAACTTGGTTGGTACATTCTGAGACTCATTAGAGATATATGGCATACATAATACCTAATTCATCACACTTAGTTTCCCATTGTGATAAGTGTTGCAGCTGCGGATTTTTCATAAATATTGGTGAATATATATGCCATCCATTTTTGTCTCGTCGGCACGAAGTAGCAGAAGCGAGACTAAGGTGTTGCTTTTCCTGCGACGGCTGCATTGTCAACATTAAGTTATTGCGTTAAAGTTCAGTTTCACTGAAAGTATAAGTGCTAGACCAACCAAACTTGGTCCATACATGCATCCTAGGTAGTATATCTAAAGCCATACATCAAATGCTGGATGTGGCCTACCTTTCATGGTCCATTGACTTTGTCAGCATCTCCATCAACATTAAGTTTTTGCATTTAAGTTAATTTCTCTGATTTGTGCATTGATGGTCAAAGCGTGACAAAGGCAACACATATCAATCGGAATGGCTTGTTTATTCTTCAGATAAAATTCATGCAAATTTTCTACCAAAACTTTTCGAACATGAGGATGACAAACTCAGTATGCACAACGCAATACAATCCTCATGTTTACAACGAACATAAAAACAATGAACTGGCATTTAGTACGTTATCGAGTTTCAAACTATTTAGTATTAATTTTTCTTAAATTGATAAGATTTTATAACAGAATTTGATAACATAATTTAACTTGTATATCCTCCTTGCATGTATGAATAAGTTTAAGATTAGTTGGGTTTTAATCCAATGTTGAAGTAAATGTTTTTTACCAGTGTGTGAATGTTTGCCGACTTCCTATTCTTACATTTTGTAATATAAATGCAATTAAACTTTCTACATTATTCCTTTTTTTCCTTTTGAGTATATTATAAAGCATAATCATCCGTTTTAATGGATTTCCTGAATGTGATACATGTTGATATGATGATTAAAAGCTAAGAGATTCCACTTGGAATTTGATCTGGATTTTTTGATAACACCTTTTATTGTATATAAATTTATTTAAATAGATAACCGTATTTCATCTTTACATATGACATTTTTTGTATTGCTTTGTCTTATATAACTTGAATACTCTTGTATTTACTGGTCTTGTTGAGATCTGAGCAGGTCAGAATAGATGTTGATAAAATCATTCTTTCTTGATGCACATGAACATAAAATTAGAAATTTCATTATATTTTCAAAAAGATACTTTTTGACTTTACATATGTATAAAGAATGTCCCTTTTTTACTATTATCCATCCACATTTACCTTAAAGTGTGTAATGAACTTTCACAGCTTTAATCCTACAGAAAGTTTTAAGTGTGAGAGTAAATATAATGTATTTGTAGCCTGATTATGGTCTACATGTGAGGTAGCTATGAGGAACACTAAGTTATTATTTTATTTACAGTTTCAAGTCATAAAATGAAAACATATTATCTAATAATATAATCATTAAAATGGGTGATTAAACGAGATATAATTTATACTTATTTATTCTGCTATATTCATATTCTGGTTAGTATTTGATACACTATATTTAAGCCTATCCGTATTTTGGAAAACACATGTGACTGTTATATTTTGGAAATATTATTGTATTGGAGGCTTCTGTCAGACTGTCAACACTAAAGTTTTTGCAAGAAAACTTGCTTATTTCGTGAAGTTTTCATGAAACATGGGAAGCATGTACAATATTCAAAGACAAGGGTCAAGCTTAAAGATCAGCAAAATCCATTTATCAGCAACTGTACAAAAAATATGAGGAGTGTAGTTATGACTTACATTGTGAATATTGAAGCCTGAACATACATATATGTATTTAGAAATGTTTATTTGCTCACTTACAAATATTGTCAAATGAAAACTGCATGCATGGTTGAATGTATTCATATATAAATTGAAATACTAATGTGATAAGTTAAAATAAACCTATTCCATATCTTTTAATATATCTATACAATTACACCTTATATTTGTTTTTAGATAATTATATACATTTGTATATTTATACACCCGGACAATTTCTTTCTCCGTCCAATTAGTGTTTTTTATTTTTGTAACTTAAATTAATGATTCATTATCTAAGTATTTGGTATTCATTTTCTATCTTCGCTGTTTTTCATCTGACTGTAAACAGCTTCGAAAATCGGAACTTGTACTAAAGTATAGTCACTCAAAATATCTTAACCCTGCTGTGCTTAGTTGTAAAGCCGTGGCTAGCCACACTCCATTAATTCTATATATAATCAAGCAAGATCAATAAGCTATTATTTAATCATAGGATACAAAAGTTATCAGTAAATAAACTAATTATATGCAAACTTTTGTTTCAAAAGGCTCATATATAACGTAAGTGAATTCTTACAGTATTCATTTCATGATTGCAAGGTTTTGTTATTGTTTTATACTCCTTTTCAGGAAAACTTATAGAAAAAAACCAGTACAAGTAAATTACTTTAAAGAATCTGTCATGGATTCATGCAGCTTTAACATCTGTTTGTTTCATACTTGGATGAAATGTTTCTCTTTTTTTTTTTAAATTTAAAAAGAAAAGTGACATGCAAATCACTTAATGATGGAGTATTTGTAAGCAGTTTGAATGTTTGTTTATTGTTTCATGAATATGTTTTCATTAAATCATAACTCGCTATTAACATTTGAATTGCTTTTTAAAAAAAGGTAAACAAAAACGTGACTTACAGGTATAAACACACATTGTATACTGACAACATCTGTACTACCTCTTGCTGAAATTGTCATCGGCTCAATCAACAGGCAAAAACAATATCAATGACGTCATAGTTTGTTGTGTCACATTTCTATCGTGTCACATTTCTAGCGTGTTGTGTCACATTTCTATCGTGTTGTAGTGCAATTGTGCTGTATAGTGTATTGTCTTTTTTGTTATACGAGTATGAAAACAAAAACAAACAAAAAACAGAATTTGAGTGTTTGCTATGAAAATAATAAAACTACTTGGGTGTTTATGATCTATATCTAGGTAATAATCCTTTCTGTTGTCCTCTGCCTCAGCGTCATGAGTGATAAATTCAACAATATGAATTTTAATGCAGCATTACTTTTTTTTTTGTAAAGAACATGCCGGTATCTACTATTTAGTTTTGATGGCGTCTCCCATTTGTATAGGCACCTATGTGGGTAGCGATTTGTCCGAGTAATGTCACAGGATGGAACATCATGCTGTCGTGTCGACATTGTGATATTTCACTGAGGTAGCATTACATTGTTTTCACCTCTGCTTAAGAAAGATATCTATGTCCCAGGGGGAACAGCCATATTGGATACATCCTGGTATCTCACATGGGTGCACTCACTTTCCTGTGCTATTCCCAATCAGATAAGGGAGTTTTATTAGGACGTCATAATTGAAAACGCATCAAAACGTCGTTTGACTGACTGTTGCAAACTTGCCTCTGCAACTAACACTACCTGAAGAACAGGAGAATTGTTTACAAGCTTGCCCTGAAAGTCTGGCATGGATCTTTATATCTAAGGTTTATACTTACAATAACATGGTAGTTGTCCTGCCCTGTTGGTCTCAGTTTGTGTATAGGTTATCTATAAACACTGCTATATTAAGTGCTGTACTTGTATTGTCTGTGTCCTGTTTTACCAGAGGTTTTGTTAAGAGGTGGGAGAAAGAGTCCATCATTATGTAGGTATGTGGGATATAGAAATTCTACACCCTGAGGAAGACTATTCATATTCCATATACATACAGAACATACAATAGACTTTATAAGTCATGTAAGCTTAGCAAAGACCTGAAACCTCACACCAATTCCATGTACAATGATATATATATATAGATATCAGTTATTAGGCAATCCTACTAACCTTTCAGATGTGTGAGGAAAATGCATAGTAATATATATTTATAGAATAATATTATAGGTGACTGATTGTATACATATAGTAGATTATATGAATATGATGTAAATATTACTGTAAGTATTGTTCATAATTATATATCTTGCTTGATACTCCAGGGGTTATGCTAACTTATGCTTTCTGCACCCCTGGAAATATATCATCGCAAAATTGAAGGCATGCAAAAAGCTATTTGATTGGGTTAAGGTAAACAAAAATGACAAACTGCCAGGCTGATACTTGTTCATTAAAGATATAGAGGAGAAACATTCGGCTTCAAAGCCAATCAGTTTTGCCTTTAGGCTGTGGTGTGGTTCTTTTGATGGCACACACCTTCAATTTTTTCATGACATTGTATCAAGGGGGGGAGGGGGGGCAGATGGTGTGAGTGTTATCCCTGGAATATCAAGTATAAATCATACTTGTTTAATAGCTAATATTTTGTGAATTATTATGAATACATAAATAAATAAATGTTAGAGTTGATGAAATGCAAGCTAGTAAATAATCCAAAAAAAAGGTCAATTGACATAAGAATATGACTCATTTTACAAAAGGTATATCATTGTCGATTAGGAGTAAAATCAGTAAATATCTTCCATGTAGTTCTTGCTGTGGATTTGTTTTTAAACATTTTAACCTCATTCTACGTTAAAGGTCACAAAAATGAATGCAATATGTGTTTGCCATCAGCATGAGTATCAGGTGAGCAGTGCAGACCCATTGTGCCTCATGTTTAACATTATATATATATTTACTTGTTTATAACAATGGAAGCCACTGTATTATTGCATGGTAGCTTACATGATATTGTTCACAATTCATACCAACTGTTTTTGCTCTGGTAAAGTCAGTTCAGATGATACTAGTTCCTGTTTTGTGTACATCTATACAAGAGTTTGCAATCAAAGTAGATTCCCTCTGACATATGTTTGTATATTTGTGTTAGTATTGGGTAATAAAAGCCTTAGGTGTGCGTGTACATGCATAATTATGTTGATGAAAATTATGCAAAACATTGTTCATGTAGCCCAGATATGCAATTCTTTTGACATGTGTTTATGTAAACAGTAAAATCAAACATTTTCGTGGGATATTAAATTTCTTTTATTTCGTGGTTAACAAAAATCCACGAAATTAAATGATATAGACAGGGGAAAATCAGAAATTAGCGAAATATAATGTCCTTGAAATAGGCTAGTATATGAAAACCACGAAATTTTAACCCACGAAAATAAATGATTCTACAGTATTTATGGGTAAGAAATAGTCACTAGTCTTTGAAATCCAGGATTCTGCTCTAAACATATCTTCTGTACACCATGATAGGTGTATGGAGAGTAAAACCCTTGGTTTTAAAAAATACGCTCCCCTTGACGTTGTTCCTGTAGTTTTTTTTATATGTAAGCTACATTATGATCCTTAGGCTTCAGTGCATGCCTGTATTAGTAGATGGATAAGACAAGAAACAGTCCCCAAAGTTATGCCTGTGTGCCCTTGTGAATAAGAAATGAAAAAAATCATGTATGCATGTATATAGTCCGAATTATTCCGACGTTTTATCGACTTTTTCATATCGGTCTGTATCGTCGATTAAAATGAGCTCTATATATGGATGTATTATTTAATGTGGACGAACAGTATATAGAGCCTTCACTATACGTCCCTGATGTGGACAGGGACAGTATATAGAGCCTTCACTATACGTCCCTGATGTGGACAAGAACAAAGACAGTCCCTGTGACAGTGCGTGCTTCTCTGTGGAAATATGTTGTCAAGTATAGCTGTCCTATACAAATCCAGTGTAGTCTATATATCTGTTTTCGGATAGATCTATTGTGTGTGTGCTTGTGAAATTTAGATGTGAACAAAAACCTGTTTATGTATGCATGTATTTGTGAATTTGGTCTGACATGGAACTTCACATGATCATATGGATTAATTTTTGTGGATAAAACAAGAAATAGTCCCCTATGACTACAGACAGAGTACGCATGCGTTGTGGATATGACATGAAAGAGGTATTAGAATAATTATTAATTGTATGAAAAAGAACTTGTATTTTAGTCAGGTCTAGTGTGCCTGTACTCATGTATATAATAAAAAAGATATTTACACATATCTTATTTTCCACAATATATAGTCCCGTGTGGTGTTATCTGTGCTACACATACGTGATATTCTATCCTAAAACGTTTCGTCATTATCGATTCAGTGTCTCGGATCAAACATAGCAAGTAGGTCTTCAAAATCTGGTTTACTGCAATTCCTGTTGACTAAACAGTCAATATTTATAAAACATCCTTGGTAGAGTGTAAGTTCCTCCATCGCTACCATTACTAATACAGAACGGCATATTGTATATATACCACTTTCAACCTGACCAATCGCTAGGCTGATACGTCCGACTTCAAAGCCTGTCAATTTTTACCGTTACGTGACGGCGAGATTCTTTTGATGTACATCAAAGGATCGAACTAGTCTCGTCTGATGGAATACCATCAGGTGGAGAGGAATACAAGCTCTTGATCGTGGTAGAATATGGGGGG